CAACAGCTGCAAAATCATAATTTAAAGAGCTCCTTTTAATACTAATACTAATACTCTATTAGATGCATGGGTGAGCACACCTTTGACTACAGGAATTTAAAAAAAGGTGTGGAAGATAGGGAAAGAACTTCAGACTATCATCCCTATAAGGAAAGAAGGATATACAAGTTAGTTATGTAACAAATTTTGACTTTATAAATTTTAAGCTACCCTGAAGAACGTAACATTTTATTAGGCACTTTCTTGCCATTTCCTAACTTTACATATAGACAATGTCTTGAGAGGAAAATTAAATTTCTAACAAGGTAACTTTAACAAATGACAGAAAAAAAAATCTGTAATAACCTAATGAAGACTTATAATTGCATATTGTAAGTACTTTTTCTCACAGAATCCCAATTATCTAACTGGCAGAACTCATACTGGCTGACATATCAGATTTGATACACAGCAAAAGAAAGCAGACATTCATTTACATAATAATTAGAAAGGAGCAGAGCAACCTGGAGAACCTCTTATGTTCTTAAGCTTTTCCTCACAATAATTTTCCAGAAAAACACATTTGACTCAAAGGGGGAAAACTGACAATGGCATCTGGAAATACTACTTGTGTACCACAAATTAAAAAGGAGAAAGACAAGACCAATTAAAATGCTTCGTATTTCAAGCTTAGTAGAGTCTCCTCTACTTTGGAGTGGTACCACTCTACACTGGTAGCTCCGCCAAAAATGAGCCTATCCTCAAGTACCAAAATCAGTGGAGTATTTTGGAAATCACTGACTGAGTAAAAGCAAACTGGGCAACCTCCAATTCAAGAATGATAAGCATAGCATTAGTAACACTTATTGGCAAAAGGAGAGTGCTTAGCTTTCAGCGTGGCACCTATCTAGGCCAATCACTGACACGACCAGGCCAATCACTGACACGACCAGGCCAATCACTGACACGACCAGGCCAATCACTGACACGACCAGGCCAATCACTGACACGACCAGGCCAATCACTGACACGACCAGGCCAATCACTGACACGACCAGGCCAATCACTGACACGACCAGGCCAATCACTGACACGACCAGGCCAATCACTGACACGACCAGGCCAATCACTGACACGACCAGGCCAATCACTGACACGACCAGGCCAATCACTGACACGACCAGGCCAATCACTGACACGACCAGGCCAATCACTGACACGACCAGGCCAATCACTGACACGACCAGGCCAATCACTGACACGACCAGGCCAATCACTGACACGACCAGGCCAATCACTGACACGACCAGGCCAATCACTGACACGACCAGGCCAATCACTGACACGACCAGGCCAATCACTGACACGACCAGGCCAATCACTGACACGACCAGGCCAATCACTGACACGACCAGGCCAATCACTGACACGACCAGGCCAATCACTGACACGACCAGGCCAATCACTGACACGACCAGGCCAATCACTGACACGACCAGGCCAATCACTGACACGAC